ACACACACACTCACACACACACAGACAGACACACACACACACTGGTGTGTTTTGATTGTGAGTGCAGTCATGTGATGTGATGTGAAGTTGGTAGATTTAACCAGGTTGGTTAGAGGAGCGTCTTGTTTATAAGTGCAGTAGTTCTAAATATAACCGTCAGTGTGAGGAGCGACTGAAACACGAGTCCCGGCTCCCGTCGACCTCCCTGACTCCTCATCCACTCTGCCAAAGGTCAAAGGTCGTCAGTGGTTGTGGTTCACATGCTGTTCATGCAGCTTCACTGATGTTTTATCTGTTTGTGTTTCTCCTCATGTTACAGACCATCATTTTGAGTTTGAAAATAGTTTTCACAAGACTCGTGGTGGCAGAATGTGTGTGTGAACAAACCCTGTTAGTGATCCGGCTGTGAGATGTTGTGAATGTGTTTAATGTGGCTCCTCGTCTGACTTTAACGTTTGTTTAGGTACATGTATTGGACGGATTGGGGTGAGGTCCCGAAGATCGAGCACGCTGGGATGGACGGGACGCATCGCTCGGTCCTCATCGACTCTGAGATCTACTGGCCCAACGGCCTGACGCTTGACTACGACCTGCAGAAACTCTACTGGGCCGACGCCAAGTTCAGCTTCATCCACCGCTGCAACCTGGACGGCTCGGGCAGGTGAGAGCGCCTCCGTCACGTGAGTCCGTGTGCCGTGTCCGTGAGCTCACGCGTGTGTGTGTGTTCTCAGGGAGGTGGTGGTGAAGGGCTCTCTGCCACACCCGTTCGCGCTGACGCTGTACGAGGAAACGCTCTTCTGGACTGACTGGAACACACACTCCATCCACGCCTGCCTCAAACACACGGGAGAGAACAGCCACGAGATCCACACCAACATCTTCTCACCCATGGACATACACGTCTACAGCCAGAAGCGGCAGCCGCTGGGTAAGAGAGTTGTGCGAGTGTGCGAGTGTGTGTGTGTGCGCGAGTGAGTGAGTGTGCATGTAAGTGTGTGTGTGCGAGTGAGTGAATGTGCGTGTGCGAGTGTGTGCGTGCGTGTGTGAGTGAGTGTGTGTGTGTGTGTGTGTCCTCTCCTTCCCATGGTGCTCCTGGAGGAGTTTCCTGAAGCGATGCACAGACGGGCTGCTGGCTACGAGCCTCTGCAGAAATGATTATGACACACGACTCCCGGTTCAGCCTCTCGCACACAATGGAGCGTCTGTTCTGTCCTCAGCGCTGATTGAACGCAGAGAATTTCTCACAGCGCTGACACAATCCTGCGTTACGCCCTCCGTCTCTCGCTGCAGAGCTTTCTCTCCGTCTTCCTCCGCTCTCTGCTCTTCCTGTGCTTTCTCACGAGGGGCGCGAATCTTTAGACACCTCATGAACCAATCAATTTAGTTCAAATGTATTTATAATTTAGATTTTTGTGTTTTAATATGTGATTATTTTTTAATGATGATTTTGTTTTAAAATAAAATTAAAACTAATTTTTATTAAAAATAATAAAAATGTTAAAATATTAAAATTTATTTTGAAGTGAGTGTGACAGTGTGCAAATGAATGTGTGAGTTTTAGAGGGTTTGATCAGCGAAAAACCTTTATCTGTGAATCGATTCTGTTGGACGTTCATGCATCACAGCTGCTCGCTGACACGTCTTCATGCTCTCATGCTGTTTTCCTGGTCTGACGTGTGTGTGTGTGTGTGTGTGTGTGTGTGTGTGTGTGTGTGTGTGTGTGTGTGAGAGGGGG